CAGTCTCGCATAGCACTTTGCGGGATTAGATTCAAAACTGTGACATTTGAGTCCGAACTGTGGTAGCATAAGGCCCGAGGGCGCGTCCACAATATGCATTCACCATATGACTCTATTAAACATCATACATATCATTAAACTTGTCTCTATTGGGTTTTAGCTCACCCTATGTAAAAATCAACTTTCAGGTGCTGATATGCATTAATTAATTAAACCAATTAGGATAAATTACCATAATTCACAAAACAACCCTAAGGTTCTATTTCCATCAATGTCCCAACATTAATCTCATTTCTCTATGCCTAACATGCATATGGGTATATATATCTAAAACCCCAACTATTGTAATATTTCACAAAGGCCCAAACTTTCTCAAAATTACCCAACAACCCCCAACATATCAAAATGCCAAAACTCAAAGACAAAGCCCATAAGATGGAGTAGGTTATCCCTACCTCAAATGATGGGGCGCAACGAAGGAGATGAAGAAACGGAAATGCTCCAAATCCCGAAATTTTCAGATTAAAAGATAGCCCTCGACGATCAACATAACTTTTGTAAAGGCCCAAGGTGAGAAAACAACTCCTACTAGATCAAATCTAAGAGAGAAGGGCCGGTTTTAGAGTGAGAAGCTCTGAAAATGGCTTTTTGGAAAAGTAGGAGAGAGAAAAGATCTTGAAAAAGTGATCCAAAAGTCGGATCTCGGATTTATATAAAAGTCTCCCCGTTCGAGCGTCAAACTCCCCGCTCGAGCGTCACTCACAAACTCTCGCTCGAGCGTCAACAATCCCGCTCGAGCGGCGGATGCACGCTCCCAGAACTTTTGCAAACAGGTCTCCCGCTCGAGCTTCCAACTCCCCGCTCGAACGACACTCACACAATCCCGCTCGAGCGGCCAATTCCACGCTCGAGCGTCGAACACTGTACAGGAAATACTGGATGGGTGAAACTCCCGCTCGAGCACCAAAACCCCCGCTCGAGCGGACAGGTCAAAATCTGGGCAACTAGTTTTGGTTTCTAATCTCAACCAACCTGTAACAAATCTGCCCAACACATCCTATAACTCAAATACAAAGTAAGAAAGGATGTACACCAGGTAATAATCAACTACTATCATCCCCGGACACAAGTCCGGATCACTGTACAACAAGGGTAAACCCGGGATCGCTATACAATAAGACGAGGAAGGGGAAGGATTAAGGTTGATTTAGGCTGAAACGGAAATAAAAAGTTAATTTTTCTAGGGCTTTGAACAGTAGTATGAGATCAGTGTTTACAGATGCTTTTGAATATTAGTAATTTTCTGGATCAATGCTACATTGCCGTGATTTTTTGGTTTGGAAATTTTGAAAGCTATCCTGGAGTGATGTTGATTCAGTGCTGATGGAGAACATTTAGATGCTTTCAGAGTTAATTTTAGTCCAACTGTAACTTAAATTTTAAGGTTGGAAAGAATATACGCAAAGGAGGAACTGGAATACCTGCTCCCATTTCTCGTCTTATCCAACATAAAGTGAACACAAATGAAATGTTTCAAATAATTAAAATGATAGAATACAATATCATTTAATCCATATTCCGAAAATCACAAGTCTTCCCACTTTACATCCATATCTAAAAACCTTATGCTGGCCACATACTCGAATGCAAGAAGAGCAATAAGGATGAATGAGATTCAATGAATTATCAGATTTTGCATGCAGATAGACCTATTCTGTTACAAAAGTAAATAAACTAATTAGGTGAATAGGTTTACTCAGCCTTGTGTCGGAGAAACATGTCCTGACTATGAGAAAAAATAAGTTCTTTAGTTTGTTATTTCACAAAATTGTAATCAAATCATTTCACTTAAGTTTCATTTAAATACAACTCGTGCCTAACGACTTAGTTTACTTTGAAAGTAAAATCTTTTATTGGGTTTTGTACCCCATATCTTTTTCAATGAACTAAGTTTCCTATAATGAGCAGCACAAGCTATGGAAAAGAGATTCATTTTATACAAATATAGGTTCCACATCTTTATCATGGACATATTAAGGGTTTGTTTGGGATGTTCTAAATAAGTATACTTTTTGACTTTTTATAAAATATGGGTTGGGTTTGAAGTGATGTGGTAGAGGAGAGATGTGACTTATATATGATGATGTGACTTAAATAGGATAGTGACTTTTTGACTTTTTTTGAACATCCCAAACTTAGCCAAAGTATAACGAAGGAAAGAAGGCAAGCAGAGAACATATCAAAAGAAAAAATATAGTAATAAAAGAGGGCAAGCAGACAGATATAACACAAGTAAACAACATCATCAACAATAAATATACGCAACAATTAATATCAGAAATGCATACCAACTTTCTTCCAGTTATTAGAAAATTGGGCAGCGCGGTTACTCCCAAATGAAAATACCTGAACCAAGTTTTGATAAACAACAATAAACACCTATAAAAGATCTCTTTCCAGTACACTAATATTAGAATAACCCCAACAACAACAGGAATGACAAAGACAAGATCAAGAGTTCATAATATTTATGGCAGCCTTCTATGATTATTTTGTATAGCTGGTATTTCACACATTTTCAACATTTGACTACAAACTCAATTTTTGCTTATTCAGAAAAAAATTCCAACATATGAATGATGTATCTAAGTTTTTATATCAGTATGAAGAGTCTTTCCATCCCCACCGACATTAACATTGAAACCCTAGATTAAAGAAAAAGGTTTAAATTTCAAGGATTTTCTTTTTCACTGTCATTTCTTTTTCAGATTTTGGTTTTCTAGGATAATTCAAGTTAAGATATTTGTTACATATTACACGAAATATCATTTGTACAAAATGAACAAAAACAACACAGCCAGTCCTTTGTTACATAGATTCTAAGCTTCATGTACGAGTGTCGAGTGCAAGTATCTAAGCATCAATTCATCTAATTCCCAAGTCCTAGGTCATCAAGCATGGTTACATATAGATTTCTAGTACTATTTATAATTTCACAAGCTAAAATGGTATTTCATGTGATATTAAGTGTTATACTTCACTCACTTTGAATAAAATATGTAACAGAATTGATGTAATAACGGAGTTTTATGTATAATTAAAGTTAAATAACTTTACATGCTTGCTAGGTGAATGTCCAACTAAAAATGTTAATTATTTAGAGAGACCATGTAACATTGGTCCGCTAAGTACTTGCTCTTTTGATAATAGCCAAGATATATCAAGTCACTGTACCTATTGAGAATACCTGAATTAGCAATGCCTTTGAATTTTCAAACTTAGACAGAAAGTTCCCAGAGGTGATGACCTCAAAATCATGATCACCTGGATCTGATTTAACAAGAAAGGAAAATAAAAGAAAGAGATGATATCATATTAGAGTTGTATTTCCCACAACAAGAAACATATAGCACATGTTTCCAAATAAAAATCTTTGGTACAAAAGCAAATAGTCTAGAATGGAATAACTCAACTAACCAAAGGAAGCAGACTCCAACAATGGAAGGCCAATTTCAGAAAAAATTGTCCCAGCATGTCACTCCTTGATGCTATCAACAACATGCTACAGTCAACAAATCAATGTCACGCATCAAAAGATTATTAGTAAAGTCTAATGAGCAAAGAAAAATAGTAAAGGTTCAAACAAGCACCACAGGCTTCATATTGATAGGTTGATAGTTAAAAACTCACAATGAGCTC